ATTTATTATATTTTATTAGGCATTCCAAAAATCCTTTACTACCTTACACTTATATTTGGGACCATCATGTATATACTTCCTTATTTTGTTGGTGCAAAAGAATTTGATGAGAATAAAGTTTTATCATAAAAGTAGCAATGTAGCAATAATGAATCAGTTGATATGCATCTGTATAAACTAACATACATTTTAAAAGAAGGTGAGTTTAAATCCTTGTTAGCTAATCAGCATAAGAACATTCTTAGTCAATGACTAAGAACTGGCGTTTTCATAGGAAAATTAGGCTATATTACATGGAACTAATGTAAATACTTAGTCTAATACTCATTAAAATGAAATAAGTCTATGTGCATAAAATCATAGTTTTTTTGGTCAACTTAACTTGCATAATATTCTTTATCTTAGGATCACTTGTATGAAAAATATGTAGTAGTCGAGTACCTTTTTAGTAGGATTTTGTATAAATGTAAAGGGGAAACTAAGACAGTACATATATAACAAGCCATACATTGTGACTTATGCATCGTGTCTCGGTTTGATTTTTATTGTATTATGTTATTTCACATGTTTTTAATCAACAAGGGAACCATAATGTCATACAAGGCGGGAAATAAAGGTTATGATGAATTCACAACCTCCGTTTGTTAAGACAAAGTTCATTTATGTTTCCTTGAGCCAAACTCTTCCAAGTCGTAACGTTTTGGTTGTTAAATTACATGTATTACTCGACTTATATGTATAACTCTACTTATATCTTTTCGCACATGCAATTTACAACTTTATAATATTATTAGGCATGCACCTTATATGACTTTTTTACCTTTTAAACAAGTTTTGCATTTGGCTTCATTGGCTTAATTGTATACATTTCAATTAACCACTACCTCACTCTTATGTAAAGAAGTATACACATATAATAATGGTCTTTAAAGATACCAGTTGTTCGTGTTATGATGAAGTAGTAAGATGAGTAAGTTAGTGGGGTGGAGCATTATTCACCATACAAAAATCCACTTTAGCTGGAGAAGCCATTAAATTAAAATTGCCTGTCAACACCATAATTACCCCTCTTCTTCACTATATAAAGACGTTGCATTATGCTTGCTTTTTCATCATCTATACTTCAGCAAGAAAACCCTAAAACAAAATATATGTCTTCTCCACGACTCCCTTTATCAGCAACCGAAGCCTACGTTGTCGGAATTTTTTCAACTTTTATTCCGGTAAAACACCCAAGATCCACCAACTCCACCCGCTCTAACGAGATTCGTCGTCATAGGTCGCTCAACAACATTGCTCCATGGCATTACAGGCGTGAGCGTATTCCAACACCGCCCCGCGAAGAGGGAGGGTCGAATGACCAGGTGGTTCCAAACGCACCAATGGCGGTTGTTCCCGTCGTTCCAGTCAACCGTGAGGCACCATGTATTCAGCTACTTCCTGAAGGTGGATTTGATTTCATGGGGGTTTCAGGCAAGGCAAGCAACCATCCTGAGAACAGATCGACTCAACCTGTGGGTGCTTTTGGAAGAATTTCCCAACCCCTAAGACTTACATATCATGGTGGAAGTTCGTCTGGCAAAGTCAAGGCTCAACTAAATGGCGATAACGACGGTGAGGGCTCGTCCCATGCGGTGGTTATCCACTCACAACACCAAATCCAGGTGCAAGTCCCTCGATATCCATTAACCCAAGCTGTGTCAAGGCCCTACTATGGCTTTGAAACCCTACCAACGGCTCCTCCGAGAGCTTGTGTAGGGGAAAGTTTGCTGGTGATATTTCGAACAACACACCCGTGTATGTTGTAAGGATTCGAAGCCTAGAAAATGGGGACGCAGGAGTACTTTATAGCATTCGGAAGGATGAGACCTTTGAACACATATATGATGACTATGCAACTAGGGTTGATCGCAAATACTTCGAGATCATGGTGCAGAAGGATTCAGTGGTGATACCGCGGATGAGCACCCCTCGACTCTGAAGTCTAGTGGCTGACACCGTGCTTTTTGTGCGGCCTATTGTAATATTCTGCCCTTAGTCTGGTTTAATTACATTTAATTATTATTTATGCAGCTTATATAACTCACTAATGTTAGATGTGGTAATTTTTGAATTATAATAGCTTTAGACACCAATATGTGTTTTTGTGGCCTAGGTAGTTAGTTAATTATGTCTGTGCTAACACTTGTTACATTATTGTAGAGTCATTGCGAATTTCAACTATATCCAATTCCATTCTATGTTTTATTAAAATCAATTTTCAATAGTCTTATAAATTATAATGGAAATGGTGGATCAGTGGAAATTTATTAATATAATACTATATTTGAGGTAGTCAACAGTATGATTATGTTGTGTGGAGTCATGTAATTAGCTACCAAGTATATCAAATTAATTTTCTATTTTAGAAGGTGATAGTCACTAATAATTTGTTCTAGTTTAGCATTAAAAAAATGGTTGTTAAGCCGCAATTACCTAATTATGCTTTCATTTACTCTGTGATGTAGTAAATTTAATTGTTTTAATATTTAAATTGCAAAACAGAGCCACATTAGTGCCACATTTTTATGTGTTGACTTTTGGCTCAGTAATTAATTCAAAAATAATGTAATTGTGTTGAGATCATAAATTATCAACAAAGGGTTAGCCTTTGACCGATGAGCTAAGGAAACATTGATTATGAGAAAAAAACCATGTCAGATTGTTGAAAAATTCAGTATGAGGTCAATGTAAAAAGGTCAACATAAAGATTACCACAAATATGTATATTTTTTAAAGTGAATATAGTAAGTCCTTTGGAAATCCTTGTTATTACTACTATAGAGCAGGATGCTAGTTGAATGAAAACTGAATAAGTGAGGTATTATTATGATTTTTTTTATATTGAGGGTTGAATACTATGTTTGATCACAATTTTGCAGAACTCGGAACATAACGTAGATACTAGAGTGAAGCAGTTTTATCTCAGGGATATTGTGACCTTTTCGAAGAAGGTCAAGGTGACAGGAGCTCATGACCAAAGAATGGTGAAATTTATGAGGATTGGGGGATACAACACAATCTCTCAAATCGCGAAATCCAGGTCATGTATGAAAACAAGACATATAGCTCTATACAGACTGTTGCGGCGGTTGGAATCAATAATCAGTACGAGTTGTTCTTAATCCCTCACCGAGGGTTTTGGATATGATTTCTTCTGATTTGATAGGGTCCATGGGTTTAAGTATGATGCATATTTAAATAATTATAAACTTTTTATGTATGTATGTATGGTTAACTTGGTGGTCATCACTTATTTTGCAAGCTAAAATATGACAAAATGCCTCATAAGGGATTAGTGTTGACTAGTAATTAGTAATTAAGAGACTATGGACCTGTATGGTTGTCTGGATGGTTTTGGGGGATAACCTTTTGGGCTCCTTATCTGTGTGATCAAGTTGAATGGTCTTAAATCAAGCCCCAACTCTTGTTATGTTATATATTTTAGGCGTAGAAATATGAACTTATGTCACTATGATTGTACTTGGTATTATTAGTAGGAGTTTAATATGTTGAATGTTGTATGTGTGAGCATTAATATAATATATATTTTCTTATCCTTGTTATTATTAATATAGGTGTTCTCATAAAAAACTTTTAAATGTATATTGCAAGGAATGTAGAGTACTGTAACGTTGTCCAATGTGCAAAATTTTAATAATGTCCAATATGCAAAGGAATGACAATAACTATGCTTTACATGGTAGTTTAAAATCTTGTGACTTATACATTGTAAAGTGCAAGATAAAAGTGGAGGCGCAAACCTGCGTTCCTTGAACTTAAAATTGATCTTATTAATAACAAACATTAAATACTTCAACTTCCAACCAATTGAGTCATCTAAGGATTTGGGTGTGCTATAAAAGGAGTAGGTTGTGTGTTAGATATCCTAAGTATTTCAGAAAAAAAAAACAGTCAAACACAATATGAATGGGTATGAAGATACTATAAACGCAAGTTTCGGTGCTGCCTTTGGTCCACTACCGACCATTTACGAGTTCGATGAGATATTTGCCTTTGAGTTGGCAAAGGTGTTCATGGAGATGGGTGGTGATTTGGATGGTTACGTTTTGAACGATGTGGAGTGTGAGCTTGATACACCACCGTTCCAAATTCCGTTCCACCTGTTCAACTCCAACTACACCCACACTCCAGGCACTCCATGGTGGTGGCAAAGGCGTGTTTGGATCGTTGTGCAACAAAAACCCCCTGCAACTGTCACCAGGTTCCTGAAGATGCCAAAGGCTCTGAGGATGGTTATGCGACTCTTAAACTGTTTCAAACCCACCATTGCCAATTGAAGCCTACCCTCGCCAAATGAAGCCCACCTTTGGCAAATGAAGCTCCACCCTAGTTTACGTATTCCTAAGCCTTAGAACAAGTTTTATTTTGAAGTTTAAGTATTAGTGTACTCACCATGTTTTAATGATGTATTAGTATAGTAATCTTAAAGTTATCTAAGATCTAGTAGTAGTAATCATATATAGATCTACAAGTAGTTAAGTACAGTCTGTTTGAACTTATTTCTAACTGGGTACAATTTGGGTGATGTAATTCACTTGTTTAGCTGACTTGTACAAAAAATAGCCTAACCCAACTATATTGTAAAAAAGGTGTTCGGTTATGTTTTCTAATGCATAATAGTACCAAGTTTCCATGGGAATTTTTATAAGTAACATCATTTAGTTAGTTTTTTTACTTACTAAATACCCAAAATTTTTAGATTGATTACTTACTTAAATATTATGGCTATGCACTGTACACATATACCAAATATAATTAGTCCAAGTGCAAACCCATAATAAAGGGCCAAGTAATTATATTGAATTCACATACAATTACCTTACCACAATAATGGGCCACATATTCAAGTAATACACACGCAAAAATAATGGCCCAATGTCACACACTAGAGGTAATACACACACCAAACAAATAGGACCAATGCAAAACAAACAAAGTTAAGAGTTATAATAAGTTTCCATCAGCCTAGAGTATCCAAAGTATGAATTCGTTACAGGTTGCAAAAGACACACAGGTTGCAAAAGACTAAGGTAATGTCTTCACCTTCCTTAGAAGTTGTTCGAAACAAAGGACGAGGACGACGTACTATTTTCAAGAAGTCCTCGTCTTCCGGAATGTACTCTAAACCACTGCATTGTTGAGACACGTTTGGAGTACTTGTCTTACTGTTTTTTTTACTTGGTTTCACCTACAAAATCACGTAAGATTAAGTTATTTAACGTATCAAGACCTTAGTGCTTTGATAAGGTATACACTTACATGCATTTGAATAGGAACATCAACCAACTCATCCTCGAACATGCTATAATCATCAGTGCACACTTGAAATAGAATATGAGCCGCATCAAATCACTAAGTGGAAGAATTCTCAACTAATTGGAAACATTAATAATATTGATACTCACCGGCTGTTTTGCCTTCTTCTTTGGGCGATTCTTATACCCAATTTCTTGAAGGGTTTTTCTGCGACTACCCTTGGGCCGACCTCCCCCCCTTTTTTTTGGAATAGGATCAGCCATCTTTGAATGTGGGGTGGTTTCTAAATCTAAGTGGTGAATCTCTGTCTCGGGCACAATAGTGGCTGATGTTGCACCGGCCCCAGAAATTTATTGCAAGGACCCCTTTCCCTCTCCAGGGAAGTTCATGCCAAAAGTCTGGTCCAACTTCATACGACGACGCATTTCTACTTTTGTCCCAACATCCACCAAGCTCTTTAAAACCAGATCAACAGTGTCATCATCGATCATGGAAGAAACATCACATATGGATTCAAATGCTCCCATTAGCTTATTTTGTCTTCTGACCTCAACATTCTGAAATGGATCATGGTATGATACCTTCATAAGTGTGTGTTTCCTCATTAAGTCCTTCCTCCACCGATTGAGAATGTACTTACTTGGAATGTCAAACACAAGGTTTAGATCTAATACTCTCATCATGTGTTTACACATTATGCCGTGTGTCTCAAATCTATGACACTCGCATGACACCTCTTTTGTGTCCTAGTTAAATTCATAACGGTAGTACCTCCTACGATCAATAATAATCTCTTAACTTGAACTCTCCAAAATAATCCACACACGATCCTCCAAGACCTATTGTGTCACAGTTTCAGAAACAGCTGACTCCTCCTGAGAATAACAATAGTTCATCCGAATACTTTCTGTCTGAACTTCTTGAAATTTCCTGTCAGTATAAAACTTCCGAAACAACTTCTCAATCTTGAAACCAATTGCAAGACGCCGCAAGTACTTAGAGCAATTCGCATCTGCATCCGTTTCATCGCGAACCCTTTTTTTTCATAGCCATTGAATATTTCACGGGAAATTCGCATAGCTTGGTATGCCGGTTCACAAATCTGTCAAAAAAGCTATTTATACACTCCACACGTTGTGTTGTTTTCATACCAGCCCAAAAATACTCTTTCATGTATGCTGGTACCCACATTTCTCGTTCGGTGAACAAAGTAGTTAGCCAATCATTACTCTCTAACTTATAGTGCCACACAAAAGCCTTCCACCGCTTTTCAAATTTCTCCACAGTAAGTCTCTCATACACAACAGTCTTTAGCTTACTCTTCAACTCATCGTACCTGATAAACATAATTGTGCATCTATCAATAATCCAACCACAAGAATAGCATTATTTTAAAATGACACAATAACACATCGCTTGTAACATAATATTTGAAAAACCACAATATGCGATTAATAACAACATATATATACTATCCACAAAAACATCAAATAAAGGGACCACACGAATTTCTATCAGTTAATCACTAATATCCATACCGTGGACATTTCCAATGTTTCTCCGGAATCTTCTTCATTATGTGCCAGATACACCACCGATGTCGAGTTCCAGGCATAGTTTCTTCTAACGGCTTGCGCATGGCAGCTGCCTGATCTGTAAGGATCGCTAATGGATCTTGGTTGTTCATGCAAGACAACCACTGTTTGAACATCCATGTAAAAGTTTCGCAATCCTCGTGGGATACCAAAGCACATCCTAGCAAAATTGACTGTCCATGGTGGTTCACGCCTGCAAAGTTAAGAAACGGAAGGTCATACTCATTTGTAAGATACGTTGCATCGAAGCAAAGAACATCACCAAACTCCTCCTACGCAGCACGACTCCGAGCATCAACCCATATAACATCTTTGAGACGTCCATGCTCATCCAAACGCTGAGCGCGGTAGAAGTTTTGGTTTCCAGCCTGCATTTCGTTGAAATATGCCATCATTGCATTCGAATCCCCTCCAAGCATCCGAATCCTCCTAGCCTTGTACACTTCGTGTTGAAGGTCTTTCAAAGTCATTCGAAATATTTCATCCCCATTAGCTTCAGACTCAAAACAACCCATGATTTAGGATATAGGTACGCCCTGATCAAACAAGGTCAACAGCTTCTTCCTAACACTCGAGGTCATATTCTTCATTCTGTACTCTTTCACAAGATTAGCATCCTCGGGTTTTGGCTCATGGTTTGAATGTTCCAATTCAACTTTTCTTATCACCCAATAACCAGCGCTTGAACGACCTGCATATATCATTGCCTTACATTCACATTTCTTTGACTTTCTCTTCCTCTTACTCAATTCATCTTCACATATGAGTCCCCCAACCGTCCCTACTGGCCCACCAACATCCATTGCTTTTGCCCTTTTTTTTCTTCCCTTACAACACTAATGTCAGGCCTACCCACACTCACACCTCCATGTCATGGCAATCCTATCTCTAACACCAGTCTTTAAATACGCTCCTGCAACCCTGCTTACCCCAAACCCTTTCTATTGAGCATACTCTTTGTAATATTCTTCAACTTCTTGCCAAGTCCTAAACACCATTCCCAAACTAGGAGCCTCCATAAAAGTTACTACACCAATGTCATTGCTCACTACATTCGTTTGTACCGTCTCAAATGCTCTCATTGGTGAAGTACAGTGCGGCCCACCAATGTTCGTAACAGGGGTTATAAACCCCTCCATCAATGGGTCTAATTCACCGAGACCTGTAACGGGACTTAATACATATCCCAATTCTCTTCTCCAAATGGGGAAAAAGGGTTCACGCCGGTGCCATTTTCAAACATGCTACTGTCCCCTTCGACACCAACAACTCCTATTTCCACAATTCTCAATCTTGCCTTGAAACAACCCCTGCAAGACACAAACAGGAATTTGGTATTTCTACACACATCTTTATTCGGTAGAATTTTATATACTCTAGCATCAACACATACTATGAGACACAAAAAGGAATTTGGTATTTCTACATACATCTTTATTCGGTAGAATTTTATATACTCTAGCATCAACACATACTCTAGCAATTTATATACTCTAGCATCAACACATACTCTAGCAACAACACACAATACAACGAAGAACTTTATATACTCTAGCATCAATATAATACAAAAAAAAAAACCATTATAAACATTCCAAGATCAATTATCAAAACATATGTCGTAATACACCCATATACACCAATAACTATTTCACTTTTTCATAATCACCGTGACAATATCTAACACAAAAAAATTATCCATTACTAATCTTATTCAACCAATGAAATTAACAATTACTTATCTAACAATTACAATTACAAGTAATATTGTCAGCATTTCCCCGATATATAAATTATTCATGTGGTTAAACAAATTTTGCACTTATGGCGATTGGGAGTTGTTAATCAAATAAAATTGAATTCATCCAATTTTAAAAGTAGCCAAACAATATTTCCCAGCTACATAAACCATTATAACAACATAAAATAATTTTGAAATTCAACTAAATTTCTCATCATAGTTCTCCATAATTCACAAAATAAATAATTTAACGTCATACGTAGTTGGAGTAACAACATACATCTACGAATAAATGACTTTTGAAATATATTACTTAAAAATTAAACTTCAACACTTCACTTACTGTACAAGGAGCTGAATGGCGATTCCCGCGGTGACGGCAGATGCGACGACAACGACGATCAACTACCTCCAAACCCTCAATCCCAAGTCGCCTACGATCACTGCACACCCGCTTGCTGCTCATACAGAAACAGCTTTGATTTGCCCGTATAAACAACCCCAACCAGTAACTTGACCGTGGAAATCGCCCTCCTTTTGGAGTTTCTATATCTAAATTAATAAAAATTAGAAAATTAGAGGTGTAATACCCCGTATTTTTATGTATTTTTATAAAGTATTTAAGTATTAATAAAATGTATTGTCAAGGGTTCAAGTATTTTAATTAAATATTCTAAAGGGTTAAAGTATTTTAAATATAAAGTTTTATAAAAGTAAAATATGTTTTGGGCCAAACATTTATTAATTATTGGGGAATGTAAATTATTCCTACATACTCTTATTGGAATAACCCATTTCAAAACCTATAACTTAAGCCCTATCCCATAACTGAAGCCCACATTTTTATAAGCCCAAATTTAACCATACACTCTCTACTCTAAAATACCCCATGAATCCCCAAAAATTTCCCACACAAAAAGATTAGTCTTATTTTCTCTCTCCTTTGTTTTATTAATTTGTGTAATAATAATTTTTGATTTATGGGTTTTGATTTTATTGTTTGAAATTAATTTAATTAGTATCAAATTGTATGTTGATGATTAAACTTTATAATTTTCAGATTTTGCCAATTTTATAACCTAGGGTTTTTAATTATTGAAAGTCACGATTTTAGGGTTTTAATGAATAATTGATTTAGGGCTTTTATAGTAATGATGTTTTGAAATTTTGGTGATTATAACTACTTATTAGTTTAACTTAATTCCAGATTTATTTTGAACACGCAAATTCATGTTTTAATAATTAGATTTCCGTTCGTTAATATTAATCTCGTTTTAATCCCGATCAGGTTCTAAACTCCTTGGATTTTGATAAAAAAAGGTAGTGTTTTTCGAGTGGAAAGAACGTTTAAAGAAAGACTCACTAGTGAGCGCTATCCTCTCGTGGCCAAATTCAGCCTCTAAATACGATTTTCGAGCAGTTTTTGATTTTTAACGAAGTTTTTTTATGCTTTAAATTTTATCTTTGAGTTTAAAAGGGGTAAGAGATAATTTAATGTTTCTATGGATAATTTAAGTATAAAGATGTATTTTGATGAATTTTTAAAGGATTTTTGATTAGTTTAAAATGTTGGAATTTCATTTAAAGTAGTATAATTGTGATTTTTAATAAAAGGGTGTGATTATCTATTAAAAAGGAGTTTAATTAGGGGTTTTAAAATAATTTTCAGATTATTATAAGTTATTTAAAGTGAGTTTTAGTTGCTCAAAATTGTGTATACAAGGGTAATTAATATAGTATTATTGTCCCTTTATGTAGGAGACTTAGTTCAGGAATTGTTGTAGTGTAATCGGCTACTTTAAGGGCTTATTTGAGGTATGTACGCGTACTTAGCATATTTTGGTGACGTAGAATCATGCTAGGTTTGATTTCAATTATTTACAAGTAGTATCATGCTAAGGTTTATGTATGGAATTGTGGATTTATGATGTTTGTGATTAAATTTGGAAGAATGAATTATTTGTGATGGTTATAGATTGGAAGATTATATTTTGGGCATGTTGTGTTTGAACCACATTTTTATTTATGGCATGTTAGAAGGCATAATTAAATAACCTACATGTTTAATTATGTTTGAAATATTGAAAATGAATTTTATTATGGTTCAAATAATTTTTATTGATGCTTTAAGCATGAGGAAGGAGCTATATAAGTGTCTATGTACACAAGGAATAAATTGTATGTTGGTGCCTTTGTGCACTTAAGGTATTTTTAACACCGAGGGATAGGATTTTTGGCGCATTATGCGTTTAAGGTGTCTTTGACACTGAGGTAGAATTAAAAAGGGTTCAACATTAAATAATATGTGGTCACTAATTATTCAAGAATTAAATTGGTATGTTTGTTTGATTAAATAATTATTGTTGGTTGACTTATTATGCTTTGAGAGTCATCACCAAGTCTAATAATATGTAAATAACGTAAAGTGAAAGAGATTACACACCAAAACTCTTGGAACGTATATACCTTGAGTATGAACAATGGGGGGAGTTATGGGGTTTTATATTTAACCATAACTTCTAATGGAGTATAGGACGCTGTATATTCCTTTTTTATTTATCATTATGCGCAGGAATTCCGGCACCTTTGAGTGGTTTTGTCGCTGGCACGGTTAGCTCCAGTGTCAGTTAACCTCAAATTTATTTGGGGGAGGTTAGGAGGTGGAAACCCGTTCGATGCGTAATCAACGCAAAATGAATTAATTAGTGTCTAGTCATTGTGTCTTGTTGATTTGTTGTGTGCTTGTGAACAGGTGCAATGAGGTAAGTGTGTGTTGATAGGTGAAAGCATGTTAGTGTGGCTAATTTACGCTTATGTACTCAGCTTTGGTGATTGTGTGTGTTTGTGTATTTGGCCATGTCTTTATCTTGGCCCTATGATGACCCATTTTTAATGGAGAGTAGTGGAAACAAGTAGAGATAAACTTTTCAGGTATTGAAGCATGATCATGATGAGGCATGAGAGAAGAGTGAATCTTACTAGTTTTCATTAGGTTACAAGGTGTTTTATGCTTTATTTATTTATGACTTATTTTATGTGGACTAACACAAAGGTTTGGTTTTGGAACGGTTTTTGAATAAGGGCCTTTAATGGTTCCAAGTTGTAGTTTGATTTTATTGGACTTTTTTTGTTTGGTTTTAAACTTTATTTTCGTTTGGTTGACTTTTGAGTTGACTTGCTTAATCGGTTTTAAATTTTGAGTCTTCCGCTGTGTATCTTTGATAATTGCCTTAGTCGTTTTCACGTTGGCGGTAATGTCTTAATTATTCCTAAATCGTGTTTTTAAAAGAGTGGAATGGGTATTTAAAAGAAAGGAATTTCTAGGGTGTTACAAGAGGGTAGGAGTTTATATATATTTATGAATTATACAGCAAAATTACTAATGATCAACAAAATATCTTATAATCCTTTTATTTTATATCACGATTTTATTTGTAATTCCCCATATTTTTAAATATTTTATTAATAAAATTTAATTTTTTTTCTAATATTAATTTATATTTTTTCAGAATTTATGTTAAAAATTAAAGTTTCAAGAGTCCACCACCCTTTTAAGAATACCCTTCCATTTTTTACCACCCGTGAAAAACACACCTAAAACCCTAAACTCAATTGGCACCGTTGAAACCCCATACCCACAGTTGTTTGTCGGCTTGCTGTTGCTGAGTGGTGGACTCTTGTGTGGACTAGTTATTGGCGTGTCAGACCAACCAGGGGGCAGAGTTGATTTTGTTGGCTAGATGGTTGGTGTGGAAGATCGGGAAAAATAAAGAGGAAATGTCAAAAAGGTGGGCCCCCACTGATGAATTCATGTACGGAATCCGTTAGTTGGTGGTAAAATTCAATTTTTAGAAATTTGTTTAGGGGTTAATTAAAATTTTTAATGTTTAGGCGGTAAAAACTAATAAGTGGTTTGGTAATTGGTAAAGGTAAAAAATTCCTTGTTAAAATGAACTTTTTCCTTTTTGAAAATAAAGTTCTTCATGAGCACTTTTTGTAGTAATATTCACTTGACTTTACTTATGATAAAATAAACAGTTGTATGGATATTGTTGGAATCGTGATGTATAGTTTATTATTATTCAATGATTATCATTTTTACTTATTAATGATTAAATATATTATTGATACTTGTATGAGGAATGTTTAACTTTAAGAGGGAGTAAGAAATTATGACTAAATTTAATATATTCCCATTATGCACCAATATTATAAAAAATTCCCAAAGTACCATCCATGTAGCATTCATCTTTGATTCACCTTAAAACTGCTAACAATATTAGTGATCTTGTATTTTTTAAAAATAAAAGCAAATAGACATGTTGCTACTAAAACGGGGTCTCTTTGAACTTGTACATGTAAATTTTGGTGTTCTCTTTCATGCCTTTAACTAAGAATTATGTGAATTAGCTAAGGAATATGTAGATGCAGTATCTTTTTATTCGTGCTTTGAAAACTATGACTGCTATTGCCATTAGCGGTTTTAAGTCGAACCAAACAAAAAATTAATGCCCAAAACCAAACCAACGTGGACGGTATTTGAGGAATTTGCATGAAGTATAAATGTAGGGTTGTGAGACAAAATTTGATGTCTCACGCATAAAATAATGTACAAAATTAGGTTAGATCACGTGCCATACACGGTTTTTCACTTTTTGATGCAGAGTATCAATTAAAAATATATTTTAAAAATAAAAAATAACTCGGGCCAAAATATATTTTTTATTTTATCCTAAATCAAGCTAAGCTAGTAACTGAATTTTTTTTTTCATCTTTAATTTTATGAATACATTTTATATTTTTTATTCAAACTTTCTTCTATTTCAACCCTTGATGGCATACTTATTTTTATTTTTTTGCTACTCAGTTAATGATTTTCTATTCACCAATTATGTTAGGTTGAAACATACGTATATTCATGTTTTTTTATTATAAATAATCACTACACATTAAAAAGTAATTACTTGTATAGGAATTTATATAAAGATATGATTAGATATCTAAGGGTCAGTTCTCTTCATCTTATTTTCAGTTCAGTTCTTAATTTCCTTCTCTCATAAAATATTCAGGTCAGTTCAGCTCCAAAAGTTCAGTTCAGTAAGTCAGAATAGGCACTAAGTTTTTCCTAAAATTTAGAAGAAAATAATTTGCATATATTCTCTAGCAAATTCTGTAAATTTTTTTACTTTTTATTTTGTTTTTTAAAATTTACTAAGGAAACGCCAGAAAATGACATGTGTCATTGCTGGTGTGTCTTTTAGTATATAGTTATTGATTGATTGATGTACAAAGAAGAAAGAGATAGAAAGAGTGCAAAAGGATGGGTTGGGACCTACCTTTTCGTCAGACATGATTTCATGTGCAAAAAAGACAAAAAAAGAATTGAGACCTTAACTATTAAAAGTACATTTTGTACCACTGAGGCTTTTTGTAAGTACCAATAAATTTGTATTTTGTAGCACTAAGAGTGTATTTGATACAACTAAAGCTCTAATGGTATTAGTCTAATGAGATATTTGAACCTTTTTTTTAAATACCTGTG